TATGGTATGACAATTCCGGAAGATGGGTATTTAGTGTCTTATGATGTGTCCGGAAAGCGTCCTGGAGTGTGGCGACGGCTGGGTAGTGGAGGTAGTGTCGATAGTGGAAGTCTGCCAGTGGGGTATTTATCTGGGTAGGGTGGGTCTTCTGTGCGCGATCCGATCCCTGGGTGGTTGATGGAAGCAGACAGGGCAGGGTAGGGTGGGGCTCCTGATTAGAATCCCTTTGTCACGTGTGGTTGGTGAGAGCAAGCAGAGAAACTCTGTTCCTATGTCCGCCGAGCTGGAGTCCAAGGTCTCAGAGAGTTCCGCTTATCTTGTTCTGTGGGTCTTCAGTCGTGCGTGAGTCTTGGCCGGAGCTGCCACGCGGGTCCGGAAAGCGTCCTGGAGTGTGGCGACGGCTGGGTAGTGGAGGTAGTGTCTTTAAAAATACAATTATATTACATATTATATTATATATAAGCATGTGTTACATATATTATAATTATATTTCTGCATGTCAGAGCCTGGCAAGCTCTCTGTGGCATATTCAATATTCCAAAAACAGTAACAACAAGTCTCACAATAAAGACGCTACTGGTAACCACTCGATCAAATTGATGAACAACGAGAGGACAGTTCTACAGTGCATATTATATTATAATTATTTTATACATATTTATTTATATATATAATTATACTCTTTCCCAGATAGGGTTTGTACTAAGAAATCTACTGATGGACTCTGGGGGTTTGCTTTGTTGATCATAATCTTCCCCTTCCCCCACCCTACTTCCCTTGTATTGTTTTTAAGATTCTTTATCTTTAGGGGTTTTTTTATTTCATGGTAATAGGTCTCTTTGCATTGAGATGATAAGACTTTTACTCACTTTATGAATCTGACTGTCTAGATTGAATTTTTTTCCCTTTGCTTTATTTTATCTCTTAAAAAGTTTTACTCTCCTCTGATGCATCATGTAAAATGTCCTAATCACTTACTTGGTCACTTATTAAATCTTTTATTTGCTCTACTCAGCTATGGCATTTTTGTCATTTTTTATTTAATTTCATTTGATTCAATGAATTCTTCAGCTCTAGGATTTCTGTTGAGTTCTTTTGTGTCACTTGTAATTATTTTGTTAATTTTCACACTTAAAAAATTATTGTCTTTGTTTCTCTTCTTGTGGCATGCTATAATTACCCAAATTAGCAATTTTTAATTCTTTATCGGATCACAATATGTTATCACTTTAAATTTGCTATTGGAAACTATTGTCATCATCTGTTGATGACCGATTTTGTTGATCTATTATGCATCTTGTGGTTTTTTACAGGACCTCCTTTTACATTTGAAGTGGTAGACACATCCTCATGTCTTTTCTAGTTGCCTCAGATGAGAAGACCATTCCTTGGACCTTTAATGACAGAATTTTTAAGCTTTTCTGGTTTCTTTTTCTGGTTCCTACAATTTACCAGAATAGTTGCTAAAAGAAACCTTTTGTTTTCCAGAAGGTGGCGCTCAAGTTTGTGATTTCTGACAAATAGATCCTGCTATAGTTTTCCAAGAACATTCAAATTACTGGGCCTTGTTCTCACTATCACAGGAACAACCACAGGCAGTCAGCTATAGAAGTAATAGTGGGGTGGGCGGGGAAGGGGGGAATACTTAGGTGAGAGTCTCATAGGAATTTCGAATGTACTTTTTACTGAGCACAGTAGCCTAACTGCTTCACTTTAATTTTCTTATCTACCTCTTTTTTCACCTTCTGCCCCACAATGCTTACAAGACTCCAAGTCATAGAACTCTTGCCTCAGTAATTTTTTTTCTTTAATTGAATCACCATGAGATACACAGTTAAAGTTGTTCGTGATGTGATTTCAGTCATATAATGTTCCAACAACTGCCTCTTCATTTCCCAACACAAATGTCCCCAAACACAAATGTCCCCAGTTTCCCTCCCATGCCCCACACCCCAGCCTGCCTCTATGACAGGAACTTTTCAAATATATATATATGTACATATATATATATATAGGGAGAGAGAGACAGACAGACACAGAGACAGAAAGACAGAGAAAACTCCTTTTGGGATTACGGTTTGCACTATAGGAACTGAAAAGTTATCATATTTGTCCCTTTTCCTATTTTCAACACTCAGTTCTGTGATCATTTCCAACTATTCTTGTCATACTGGTTCCTTCTCTATCCTAATTGCCTTCCCCCACCATTACTTGTAGCAAACATCCAACCGTGAACCAGTCCTCCTGGCCCTTGTTTCTGCTGAACTTGGATATTAGTCTCATATTTTGTATTTTTTTATGTCCCACAAATGAGTGCAATCATAGTTCTTTTTAAAAATGATTTTTCTCCTGTACCTCTGAGGAAATCAAGCACTCAGAAGTGTTAGATATTAACCCTGCTTAAGGCTTCATCAGTGAATTTCCCCTTTCCCTCCCCAAGAGAAACTTACAGTGTTCTTAAGAGCATCCTAATCCCCTGGGTTTATCTTTAATATATCCTTTGTGTTTCACATCTCACTGTTAGCTACTAAATTCCCAAGTTAAGCTTGGGGAGCGATAGCACAGCAGTAGGGTGTTCGCCTTACAAGCGGCCAACATGGCCGACCCGAGTTCGATTCCTCTGCCCCTCTTGGAGAGTCTGGCAAGCTACCGAGAGTATTTGATATGCCAGACACAGTAACAACAAAGTCTCCAATGGAGACGTTACTGGGCCCGCTCGAGCAAATTGACGATCAACGGGAGGGCCTTTACCTTTACCTTTTACTAATAAAGTGAAACCTTCTGATGACTCTGGATTTTGTATTTAGTGAACTACTAGCTTTTCTATTTCCCCTAAAACCTTTTTATATTTTACTATAAAAAAACGTTCTTTGCTGAAACAGAGAAACCATTGATGTGAGGCTTCTAATATTTGGGAGTTGATTAACTCTGAAATATATCTACTCTTGGATATCCATCATAATTAATTGACTAAGGCCTTGGTTACCATAGTTCCTAATACCCCCAAAATATGGGGGATACAGCCGTGGGACTTGGATGGACTCAGGGAGAACAGCAAAGTTACCCAGCACCAAAATGGGACAGTCCAGAAAACATGAAAGCATAGTTTTGTTGCAAGTCGTTCTGACTTAAGAGAGAGGACCTCATGGAGAAGGAAAAGCTAAGCCGGCCAGAAGACTTATTCTGGGATTTACAGTACAAGTCTTGCTTACCCTCAGAGCCCAGAGAATTAAGTTTTGGAATCTATATCTCTTACTGTGTTTATACAAATAATTACAAATATGAATAAGAAGTAAACTTGATTGTTTAGTATGTACTAGTATCAAGGGAAAGAGAAAGTAATATAGATGCCCCTGGGAGATAGAGCATCTCCTTGAGTTATTTCCCCCAAGAGAAATGCCTTTGTCAAAACACATTACCTCTGTAAATAATCACACCTACCTGCAGTCCTATACCTCCTATACCTTGACCACCCTCAGCTGTACTATGAGTGTGTTTACAGATTTGCACTAAATGGACAATTTTAACCATCTATCCATCAGTCCTTCATCTCTTTTTTTCTTCTGCTGAGAAGGCTGTTCTCAGCCATCCAAGGTGTTGCACACCTGAACTCAAAGAGGATAATGTCTGTTAATTCAGCCCCCAATGTGGCCTCTTTTCTAAATAATCACTCTCCACTTTTTTTGACCCAGGACAAAGAGGTTTGGGAAAGTTTCACTGGCTCCTGCTGATTTTATAGCTCAAATAGAAATCTTTCTGCTTTTTATCACATACATAGGTCAAGAAAGTGCTCCTGGATTCCGTCATGTATTTTACTGGATCTCACAATACCTTCTGAGGCACTTTTATTATTGGATGAACATTTAATTGGTCGTTAGAAAATAGGTCAAGAGAGAGGAATATCTTTCAACCCTAAGAAGCAGCATCACTACACTTAATGTGGTAGAAACAGAACAATTGCTGATGACTATATTTTTAAAGATATAATCTTAATCAAATTAATTGGAGGTTTCTATTCTACTAAAGTAAAAAGTAATGTTCCAAAAATATTATTCTCTTTTCACTTTTAAGCATTTATACGGGAAAACTGGAGGGAAAACAAAACAGATTCCCAGAATAACAAAAACAAGTTTAAGTTTCATAAATAAAACAGGTATGCTTGGTATTTTCGAGGCTTTTATGGTAGTACCAGTCAAATTGTATACAAAAATATCTGAGAATTTTGGTATCAGAGGCAACAGGACAGGAGAAAAAGACATTGTTTAAGTATATTACAGAACTGTGTACATGCATTTGACAAAATTGAAACAATCTGAAAAATAAAAAGAGAAATTTTGCTTCTTCATCTAGAAAGGAGCCAATTTATCTAAAAGTTCATTCCAATTATCCCAAATCAGCTCTCTTTTGGATATTCTGAAATGTAAATTTTGGAATTAATTCCTGAAAGGAGAGAATTTAACTGGGAATATGGGACATTTTCTGAATTGTTTTGACAAGATTCACCTGCAGTAACATAAAAAGTATCCTTTGGTTCAGGTTCAAATCACAAAGCAATGAAAGAAAAGTTGAAAGGTTGACAGTAATTATAAACATCATTGAACTCAGTTCTTACACTAGCTGTGCAATGTGGATACCCTATTTCAGATGCCAAGGTTTTAGAAGGAACCATTACTCTTTATTTCCCATTCTTGGACTTTCAAGTGTGTACCGCTGTTAATTCCAAAGAGCAAAAACTTGCTTTCTATAGTTTAAGGAACTAAACCATACTTGCACTTTTAGATGCAAAACTGTACTTGTAGATGTAAAATTGGTGAGAGGAGAAAGCAAGATTTGTGTTGGATGCTCCTATTTTAGTGGATTAATATCATTTTTAAATTAAAAATTGTCTTGATAACAATGTATTGAAATGTGTGAGTCTAGAATTCTATGTGGGCACTGAGATCTACTAATACATTATTAGTTCATCTCAGGACAGTTTCTTACAGAGTTTACAATTCAAGTCAGATTATTTTATGATCAACAATGTGTCTAGCCATCAGTTTCCTCATGGCCTCTTTAACCTCCTTGTTCCTTAAGCTGTAGATGAGGGGATTCAACATGGGGATCACAACTGTATAGAACACGGACACCACCTTGTTTTGTTCAGTTGAGTAGCTGGACTTGGGCATCACATAAATGAATGTGATGGTCCCATAGAACAGCGTGACTGCTGTGAGGTGGGAGGTACATGTGGAGAAGGCTTTGTGCCGCCCCTCAGAAGAGCGCATCTTCAGGATGGAGATAAGGATGTAGACATAAGAGAGAGCAATGATGAGTACAGTGACCACAATGATGGAACCAGAAGAGATGGCAGGGATGATTTCAGAAGCAAAATCGTGGGAACAAGAAAGCTTCAAAAGTGGAGAATAGTCACAGAAAAAGTGATTAACTTTATTTGGTCCACAGAAGGACAGCCTTAGTAAACAAGCAGTAAATGTCCAAGCATTCACACACCCACCTAAGTAGGATGTTCCCACCAAAAGAATGCAGATCCTGGGGGACATGTGGGTGGAGTAGAGAAGGGGTGAGCAGATGGCTACATAGCGATCATAGGCCATGGCAGCGAGGAAGAAGCACTCCGCTGTCCCAAATGTGACCACAGAACAGAGCTGGGACACACAACCAGCAACAGGAATGGTCGTTTTTTCCCTGAGGAAACCCGCAAGCATGACAGGTGTGACTGAAGTGGAGTACCCGATGTCTACAAAGGCCAAGTGGCAGAGGAAAAGGTACATAGGGGTATGCAATTGGGGGCTGTTTCTGATTAGCAGAATTATGCTGACATTGCCTATTAAAGTGACCCCATAGATTCCTAGAAAAAGAATAAATAAAATGGTAGAAACTGTAGAGTCCTCTGTTAGCCCCAGAATAACAAATTCTGTCGCAGTTGTGTAGTTTCTGATCTCCATCTATACTGGGAAACCTTTACTTCCCCCTGAAAAGGAAAATAACAAAAATAAAAAGTAAATATTAGAATGGAAGAGAATATATATATCTACGTATATATATATATATATATATATATATACATATATATATTGCTGTTTGGTTCACACCCAGAGTTCTCAAGGGTTACTTCTGGTTACTCCTGGCTCTGAACTCAGGAACCACTCCTGGCAATGCTGTGGGAGCCATGTGAAATCCCAGAGATTGAAAATGGGTTGGCCACATGCAAGGCTAATGCCCTACACTCTGTACTATTGCTCTGGCTCCTGTAATAATTTTCATATTTAAGTTTTGCAAATGCTATATGATAAAAATCACAAAAACAGAAATGAGTAATTCTGGTAGAAAATACTTTCACACAATACCTCATTTAAAATTGATATTACAATGATCATTAATGAAATAGGAATATTGAGAAAATTATTTATCTTACCAAACTTAATTCAGATTTGCATCATATAGTTCACTTAGGAGTTCTCTAAACATTGGAGGTCAACACAATTTTATAGTACCACTATTTTACTTCAAATATTTACTATCAAGAACACTAAATATTCATAGTAGAATCACAAACATGTTAATTCTTATTTTTAACATTAATGTCTGGAATTGGAGCAATAAAACAGTGGGTAGGGCACTGCCTTATATGTAGATGACCCAAGTTTGATCTCCAGTAGCCTATAAGGCCACTCAAGTCCTGCCAGGAGTCATTCCTTAGTGCCAAGTCAGGAGTAAGCCCTGAGCATTGCCAGCTGTGGCTCCGAAAACCAAAACAATAAACAAAAGCAGAACATTAATGTCTAATAGGAGTACATGATTATTAACTGAACAACAGAATGGCATTATTAATAACATGTAATTATATATCTGAAATCTGAAGTTCTAGCTTTCTTTTTTTTATTCAGTACAAATTTTGAAACTTCGACTAGGTATGGGTCAAAGACCAATGAGAACTCATATATTCATTTATTAGACGGTAGGAGAAGATTACTGTATTTTTTATTTTTGGGCGGACTGCCATGAATCTAGCACATGTAAAAAGGCATTTTACCACTCAACTGCTTCCCTTCTTTCAAACTCAATTTTTTACAATTTACTAGATCAAGTTATTATAAAATGTTATAACTCAGGTACAACCAGAAACTCACATTTTTTTAAAATTCATATTCACAAATTATCTGCTATCGTGCCGTGATAGCATGAAAGCAAAGTATAAGACAAAAATGCTATAAGCCTTAGCAGTTTGGGTCCATTTCTAGATTTTCTGTCGACTTTGAAACTTTAGACAACTGCATACACTTTTTAACTCCTCACTATCCTTTTTGTTTTAATATAAACTTCATTGTACTCATGGTTTGAATTTGATAATGAGGTACTTAACATTGAGATCAGGGATCATGGAGTAAGTGGATATCCAGCAAATGATTATTTCCTTATAATAATCAAACCTGAACTTCTACTACAAAAATGGGAGACAAACATTTCTACATTTGTATTTCATATAAATATAAAAGAAAAATTATTACCTGAAGATGTTTATATCTCAATAACAAATGTAAAATAATCCTTACTATAAAGAAAGGCTGAATTTATGAGATTTGGTGTCTTTGGAGATGTAAGCCCTGGAGTATATGCCTTGTTTGTGAAAATACTCAAGGCAGAATCAGAGGTACACGTGATTATGTAACTAGATGTTAGGTAAGCACTTAAGGTGCAGGGTTTTTTTGTTTTGTTTTTCTATTTGGGTCTAGCTGATGCTCAGGAGTCATTCTGGCTCTGCACTCAGGAATCACTCTTGACGGTGCTTGGGGGACCATATGGGACGCCGGGGATTGAACCCAGGTCAGCTGCATGCAAGGCAAACTCCCTACCCGCTGTGCTATCGCTCCGGCCCCCAAAGTGCAGTTTTTGAGCATGTTATAGGTTATATTTTAATAAAAACTTTTGATAGAGTATTGAAATTATTTTGTTTAAGGACTCATAAGAAAAAGCTGTATTAGATAAAACTTCCTTTTAAAATAGAAATCTTACTGGGAAGGTACCTGAGTTTTTAAAATATACTTAATATTTTATTTTGAGATCATTGTATATTCATTTGCGGTTGCAATAAATAATAATACCTTTACTGAGCTTCTCTAATGACAGCACTGACAAAACGCTCAATTATCACAACCAAAATATTGAAATGATCAAGGTATAAATCCCTCAGATTGCTTGTCATAGTCATAACAATAACTTCATCCTATTTCCAATTCCTTCTTAACTTCTAGCACCATTAATCTGATGTTCATTTTTTTACTTTTCAAGAATTTGGGGTCATACCCAGCAGAGTTCAGGGTACTAGGCAGCACTTAACCACATTAAACCTTGAAATTTCAAAATTCCCTGAGATTTGTGACTTTCTTTCCAACATATCAAACAAACACAACCCTGAAGTCAAAACATACATTCTGTTGGATCCCCCATTGGCACTGCTCCCGACCTGTTTGAGCAATGATATCCTGTTGATTATGCATCCAGGGATTCTCCTTGAGGAGACAGAGCCTTGGAGATATTTTCTTGAAGCAAAGGACAGTACCAAAGGGGTACCAACAACATTCTACTATTCTAACATTGAAAGACAGATAATAAATTACATAACTAAATAAATGAGTAAACAAGCAAATATTTGGGTTATGAACTTTTTGAGTAGCTTTTTCTCCCTTCCCTTTATGGTAATTGTTCAAATATATGTGAAGTAGTAATACTTGAGTCTAGGAAAAATTTAACAATTATTAAAAGGATTGTATGTATCTGATACTACCACGTATCTAAAAATGTGTACTCCCTAAGGGCCAGAGCAGTAATAGAGCCAGTAGTGCACTTGCCCTTCATGCAGCTGACAGAGTTTAATCCCCAGCATCCCATAGGATCCCCAAGCACTTCCAGGAGTAACCCCTGAGCATTGCTCATTGTGATTCCCCCGCCCCCGCCAACCCAATAAAAGCATGTACTCTCATCTATTATGGTAAAGTTTTGTGTTTGCTAGAAATTTGAAAAAATACTATGATAAATTTTGTTAATTTTTTTAATGCTATGGTATGGCTTAGCACAGCAAGTAGTGAGTTCGCATTGCATGTGGGCAACCAGAGTTGGATTCTTCAGTCCCTCTCAGAGAGCCCAGCAAGCTACCGAGAGTATCTCTCCTGCACAGTAGAGCCTGGCATGGTCCCTGTGGTGTATTCCGTATGCCAAAAATAGTAACAACAAGTCTCACAATAGAGAGGTTACTGATGCCCACTCGAGCAAATCGATGAACAACGGGAGGACAGTGCTACAGTGCTACATACTCTAAAATTTCAAGAATTCCTTTCAGGATATAATAATAACCTAGAATACAAAAAATGCATATAAAATGTGTTTATTACATAATTGTACATATAGAATATTGCAATATTGAATGTACACATGGGATATTACAAAGGGTATAGTGTTCATAATGCAGGAATGATTAAAATTATTATGACACCCTTATTCTATGTATTATTTTGTAGTTATTAAAATAATTAGATATGTACCTCTGAAACAAGTCTATTATATATTTCTTTTTGGCTTTTTTGGTCAATGCTGGTGATTGCCAAGCGGTGGGGGCAGGGGAGAAGAGAGAAAACAACGTGGCACAAGAATAGTGTTGAGGACACTTTGATGGTGGAAAGTTATGGTAACTGAGCACCTAAACCATGAAAGTTGATACAATTGGACCATGTTCCCAAACTACACTTTATTTTTAATTAAAAAATTATTCCTCTTTTGGTAGCAACTATTGTCAGGACAGAGGTTTTTTTTTTAAATTGTGACTTATGCAAGCGATATGTATTTCTGCAGGAAGTACTGAGGCAGATATACAAGTGTCTGTGGTAATACATTACCAAGTTTTCTCAAGGGAGCATGGCCAAGGTCCTGTTACATAGTTACACATTCATTTACTATTTAGTCATTACTCTGTATACAGGCACAAAGAAGATAGAGTTTGTCCTCTATTCTCTTGGTCCATTTTGGTTAAACATCAGGATTAAATTGAAAAGACAGATGAACAGGACTGCATGCATGAGGCTAAGTTCCATCCCATTCCCAAATGGAAAAGACATATTAACATAAGAAAAGCCTTTGCACTTATAAAAAGTTTTATGTGATAAGGGAGACCTTGGACTGGAGCAATAGCACAGTGGGTAGGGTGTTTGCCTTGCACGCAGCCATCCCGGGTTCGATTCCTCTGTCCCTCTTGGAGAGCCCAGCAGGCTACCGAGAATATCCCGGCCTGCAAGGCAGAGCCTGGCAAACTTCCCATGACATATTCTATATGCCAAAAACAGTAACAACAAGTCTCACAATGGATAACTTACTGGTGCCCGCTCAAGCAAAATCGATGAACAACGGAAGGACAGTGCTACAGTGCTACAGTGGGAAACCTTATAAAGAAACGAAGACCCGAAGAAATGGGAAGCTTATATATTCTTTCCCAAGAGGAAAAAACCATGGAAAAGTTGACTCTCTGGGAAAATTAAAGGACGATAAAAAATATTTTAACCAGGTTTGTTTGCATATTAATTCTCTTGATCTCAGTTTTCCACTTGTGAGTATAATAATTTTACTTTACTTCTGGCATAAGGATAACTTATTTCACATAGCAATTTTTCTCCTGTTTCTTACAAAAGTGGAAGTTGAGGGTACTTTTTGACTTGCAATTTTTAAAATTCATTTAGCTCAAAATAGTGTGCCAGAGAAACATATTTACAGATGCTATATTCTGCTGTAGATATTCCTGACCTATCAAGATCACTTCTTAATCACTTCTTTTTCATTTTTATAAAAAATATCTATTCCTTTAAAATTCCACTTGTTTTTACCTTTATTGTGTGCTATCATTTTGTCATTACTAGTACATGCTAGAAATTTTTTTGTTTCTTAGAAATTTTAACCCAAA